GGTTGCGGATCCATTCCTTGGCAGTTCGTGGGTCCTTTGTGGTTGGGGAGTAGCGCTCGAACTCTTTTAAAAGCAAAGACAGGTGATCGTGCACCAGCTGGGAGAATGAAGGCTCAGGCTCAGTCTCACCCAAAATCCCCGCTAATGTTTGAAACATGTCCAAAATGCCTCTGTTGACGCGCCGTCCCCACAAATCCAGTTTGGCTTTAAATGCAGCTACTTTATCTGCCAACTTGAAGACAGTTGTCATTTTCCCCTGAAGTGACGGATTGAGTTGATTGAGCAGGCTGAATATGTCCACAAGTAAGCCAGTTCTGGCGCTCAAGTGACCGAGCTGTAACCGAGAGAATGCGGTAATTTTTCAAAATAAAAGATCGTTCATACTCAGATAATAAATAAAACGGAAATGATTAATGATTTCTTGTGCGGCCCGGTACCAATCGATCCACGGACCGGTACCGGTCCGCGGCCCGGGGGTTGGGGACCACTGGCTTAGATCACACAAATCTAATACAGTCTTGTTTCATTAGTCCCTGTGCTAGGGAGAAACACACATAAACAAGCTTTTTGTTTCATTAATGATTGAAAATATTTCACCTGATAAATCACCTAGCCCTGTGATAGACTGGTGACCTATCCAGTGTCAGCTGGGGTAGGCTCCAGCCCCCTCCGCAACCCTCAACTATAATGGGTATACAGTAGTTAATGGATAAATTAATGCATAAATTACATGCACAGATGTAGATGAGTGAGAACTTACGTCCAGGATATTAAACAAGTTAAAGCCTGTTGAAAGCATTCAGTTGGACCACTTTGCCTTGCATCTAATGCTGGAGCCCTGGGGGGGAACAGTAGAAACCCACCTATAGAAATGTGACAAAGAACATCTTCTCACAGAGCCACAAGCATATGCAGTAATGTGCACTTATGTAAGCTAGTTGAAAAGAGTCTCCATCTCTGAGTCATCCTCCAATGAACACCAGAGGTGCGGCCTAACAGCTACTGAGTGTGATTGTGTACATGTAGGTGATGGGTATCCGTTAATAGGGATGCTTTCCTTTGATGCCCACGCATGTAATCACTGCAACTACTGTACATAAACAATAAAAGCACTGAAACCTGAAGCACTGCCTAATAAAAGAATACCACTTAAGAATTACCTGACACGTGAAAGCTTGCTGTTAAGATGCAGTAACAGTTACGCTCATACATATTATTATGTATGTTTGTTCTCTTGGAAGTCCTATGAAACACCATTTGGATATTAAGCCATAATAAGTTCAAACTTAAACCATGTGTGGAATCTATAGATACCGTAGCTCTCATTGTCTCTAGGATTTAATTGTTTTCTATTCTCTTCTATTCAGTCTCTGCTTTTATACTCGCTCTGGTGGCTTCTACTGATGTCACAGCCTCTCTCCCTCAGTGTCAGCAGCATAGTCTCTATTATTCATTGCTTCCACTCTCAGACTATTTATACCAGCTTTTACAGTCAGTCTTTCTGCTCTGCTGGCTACATCTGTCTACACTAATAAAGCTGTTTCAACTGGTATATGCACTTTTGGACTGCCTTCGAGTTCGTGGCCTGAAACAGCACAGGCAACCAAGCACAGTGGATAACATATGTATACACTGACTTCACATCCTGCTACCTCAAAAGAAGAAAATAGAACTGCTCTGTTGTAAACAGCTACACCAAAATTACCTTTGCCACCACTAATGACCCTGGTGAAAACATAAATCTAGGCTTTTACTGAAGTGCACGTTAATCCTACTAGTGAAATAACAGCACTTTCCCTAATTTTTATTTAGCACGGCCACCATTTCTACTGCCTGACTGCCTACAAAGCTGAAATTAAATTAGCTAAACATCAACTACTGATTAGAAAGCAGAGCTGGAGACCTACCCCATGTGTCAATAGATCTCAGAAACTTGGCACTACTACTGTTAAGACTCTTACCGTTTGTGTTGTCCCCAAAAACATGGACATACTGCAGGTTATGTGTGAATTTAAACCACACATTCTGCAGAATGCCTTAGGATTGCTCCCTGAGGTATTAACTCAACTGAAGGGCCACCCATTACTCAGTGAACCAGGAGAAGAGCAGAGCATGCCAAGTGACTTCACATGGAAGCACATGTCATTCCCTTGGAAAGGAAGTCTGAGATATGAAACTTCTACATCCATGCTTTACTGTGTTTGTTGGCCACTGCAGGGCACAGTTGCCCAGTTTAACATCATAAAGACCAGGACTTCAGTTTCAACCAGGAATTTTCAAACTGAATTTTAAGATGTTGGTTCTCATGGCCTGTTTGAGAGGGTTGAATTCTTTTCCTTACTTTTTAGCAGGAATCATTTAGTGAGGAGTACAGTAACAAGGCCTGGGTCTTATGACAAAAAATCATATTCAAAACCTCTCCAGCCACACATATGCACAGCTACATTTTTACAATATACAAACCCCCATGATTATAAATGAGAACAAAGTGATCTGGCCTATCCGTGGCGTATTAGTTCAGTGCTTCTTACATGTTGAAGTAGCAGTGCCCTCTAGAGGATGATAGAGCTTAATGCACAATCCAGAAAGGAGCTGCTCATATTGCAAGTATTTGGTGTCAGGGCCATCCAGAAACATCTTACAGGAGAACCTTTTGTTGTGCACAGACACCTAGAAAATCACTACTCCTATACATCCTGGCCCCAGATCTGCTGTACACTGGCTAGTTTGTGGTAAACTGATCAGTTTGATGCGCCAAGCCAAAACAATTAAATGAAATAATGGCCCAAGTTTGATTTTGACAAGATTTGATAGAGTCTTACACTTTAATATCCAAACATAAGGAACTGAATCATCAAAAGCAACTGACATGTTGAATATGGGACTTTTGAGGCACCAGGGGCAGTGGCTTGCATAGTAGTCCTGCCCTAGCTGGGTCCAACACTACTACAAATTTCACCTACAGTATGCGACTTAAATTACTAAAGCACACATGAACCAGTTAACTAAGGGACCACTCAAATTGGGACATGTCAGATAGCCATATATAACTAGCATACCTAAAAGTGATATGTAGCTATGAATTTTACTTAAGGCAAAGAGTCAGAAAGTGTGGAAAGGTCTACTACTCAAAACACCAGACTTGAATATTCAAGGTCTGAAAAACAAAAACCATAACTCTACATTTACTCCAGGTTCTTGTTTGACCACCTACATGCACTGCAAATTTGAAACTTAGAATTATCACACATAATTCCAATGAATTAATGATTTATTGAGTTTTGTAAATTGTATACATTTGTTTGGGTGTTGCTGTATTTTTAGGAACAAAACACGCATACATAAACCTGTACATTCAACAGTCCTGAGGAATGGACAGAGTCGAACTTGATTCATTTATTCTCTTGAACAGTCAGAACATTGAAAAGGAGAAAATGACACATCAAGTAGCTACGTTGGTCTTAAGTGCTCTGGGGAAACGCTGCTTCCAGTGCTCCACAGTTCTGGCAGATTGTTTACTCGGCGATGCCAATGACTCCACAAGCCAGACGCCCACCAGCGTTGCCAGTCTTTAGGCTCTCTTCATTGCCTCCTTTTCCCAGGTCATCAACCTTTTCATGGATCTTACAACAGAAAGCACAGTCAAAAGGTTTCTTTCGATACTTAAAACTAGATGCTCAATTCCAATTCAGTAAGGTGCAACATCCTGCAGCTTTTTGACTCAAAATGAGCTACACCCAGAGGGTCTGTCTCAAAAAGCCAATGAGAACAGGTTATCCTTAGGCTTACCAATTTCAAGTTTGGTTCAATGAAAGTAAAACTGAAGATGACAGCTGTTTTTCCTTACCACCATAGTTCGGCCAAGGATGGAGTTGCGGCCAACAAGGCTGATCATTTCATCCGTGATGTCTATCTTGGCAACATGATCTTGTCCTGCAGTAACATTGCCCAAGTCTCCAACATGCCTTAAAAAAAAACAAAACACACAAACCAACCACACACAATTTAATCCCCTTTCTCATGTGATAGCACTTTAAAGCCATTACTACATAAACTACAAACATAATAAGACTGTGACTTTGATAAACATCAACCACAGGCATTACCTGTCACAGTGATTTGTTACTCCTCCTACTCCTCCAGACTGGACTCACCTGTCTTTATCCTTAGGACCACCATGATTCTTTTTCTCTGGATTGAAGTGAGGTCCTGCACTGATGCAACCTGGGGGGAGAAAATAAAAATAAAAATTTTAAAAACGAGAAAGTCAGAATTTTTTTTTTTTTTTTGATTGTACTCATTCAGTTTGAGTTTATGCAAGCTAAAACTGGGTAAGGCTGTAGCATTAACATGCAAGCCCTGCAATTTCAGAAACTTGACACTACTACTGTAAGACTCTTACCATTTGTGTTGTCTCCAAAAGCATGGACATGAAAACCATGCTCACCAGGTACAAGGCCTTTGATTTCTCCTGTAACCTTCACAGGGGCTGATTCATTCTGGCAGATCAAGATAACAATTCATTACAAGAGAGGGGGAAAACAAAAAACAAGCCAACAAGAGCTGTCAACGCCAGGTGGCTACAAGAAATTGGAGCTGAAGTAAAAACAATGGTCATTTCCATCACACTTGCATGCCTGGCCAGGTAGGTAGACATATTTGTTAGAAACCCAAAATAAAATGGTTGGAGAAAACAAAAAGCAAGTTATTCAATATAATGTGGTCAGTTGATATTTGCTATCCTGTTTAAAACAGGACAGCAAATAAACCCATAAACAAACAATTTACCAGACACAAGATCCCGTGATGCTTTCATCATGTGCTATCAAGACTATGCTTTTTTTTTTTTTTTTTTTTTTTCCAACATGCATTATTGATTGCATGGTATGAGACCTTCCACGTCCACTCCGACCCTTGATGACACATGGTTGGCAGCCAAGGCCATAAGAGGGCCGTAGTGACGCAGCAAAAAAAACAAACAAAAAAAAAAAAACCCTGCAAGTAGTGGACCAGAGTTTACTCTTTGAATGCTTCCATAATAAGCTTTTGACTGCAACCAAAATCAACAAAACAATCACAAACCGAAGTGTTCACGGACCTGATCAGCAAACCACACCAGACTAGCGACGTTAGAAACCAAAGTTGAAACGGACTTGGATCACCATTACGTTTGTGACATGTTGAAACTCAGTAACGTTAAACAGGCGTTTCAAAACACGTGCTGTTGATCATTAACAAACAGATCTTCAGCGTTTAAAAGTTACGACATACCAATGATTTATATATATTATCTAGGCAATTACGGTATGCTCACACTACCAGCCTACTTAAAACTAACAAGTGACTAGCAGCACATAACGTTATTGATACGCAGTTGACAAATGTAGCTTTGCAACTTGCAGGGGAATGTTGCAATACAATATGCACTGCCAGGTAATACTAACCAATACAAATCACCATCTGTTTTCCAAACCTTACCAAATTCGACAGCTACTCAAACAAATCTGTCATGCGACTAATTAGCTAGCTTAGTCTTTCTGGAAAACCTGTCTGATTTAACGAAACTATGAACTAGTTAGCTTACCGCTACTTGTGAATGAGAACTTAGCCAGCTTTGCATTCGAGCGCTAACGCGACCAGGAAGATGCATCACAACTCCCTGGGTGTTTATCAAACCTAAATTTCTTTTTTAAAAAGTAGCTAGACATTTCTTCCTTTGAAAACAACGTAGCACGTCTTACCTGCTGCTCAAAATGAACAGTCCCGGAGGTCTCTCCATCTCCTTTCAGCACGCAAACAGCTTTCAGCACCATCTTGACATCCAAGTTCCTGTGATACGCTCTAGCTAACGACAACTAACGTTACGTATATCCCAGAGCGGCGGGCGTATAGTACAGCTATCCAATCACAATCAAATACGATCGAAAGGCACATTTTGATTGGTCAAGGTAGGCTGCAGCCCATTAAGTAGTTGAACAAGTCTTTAATACTGGATTCACATGGCCAAGCACTCATTGGGAGAAAAAAAAAACTTTCCACCTACATAAGGAAAGTATTTTGTTTATAGGGAAGAGGTAAAAAAAAGGGAAACTACTAATAGTCTTGTATTATAATGTTAAAGGTTGGTTTCTTTGCACAAAGTCACTTGTAGAAAGTTATACTAATGAATGGTCTTTGACCTGAACACAACAATTTAAGGGTAAGAGTCTGCAGGCTGCAAAGGTGGCTGTCCAATTAGTTTTACAGATATACAGACAATAATAAAAACTCTTACCTTTTACTATTCCCCATGGGTAGTAAAGTGTCAACCTGTAAGCGTTAGCTGGATTACTCAAAAATAACAGTAAATATCAGGCTTGTGGCATTTACAGTACATTAAATGTATATGCAATTACTTATCTGCAATCTTTGACTTTGATCATCTGATTAGCAACTGAGCCTGGGTTAACCACAGAATACAATTTGAGCACGCAAAATGATTTGGTAAAAAAATAGTTTATTAAAAACAATATCCTATGGCTGAATTATTGAAGATTTTATGTCCATGTCTTTTGTATTTTAAAATCATAGAAACATCTCAACTTTCAAACCACCAGGAATTAAAACATTAAAGCAAAGGGCCTCAGTTATTCCTTCCAAGTCAACCTGTTTCTCTCTGATAAACGAATCACAGATTATAAACAATTACGACACCTTAAAATCATCAGAGACTCAAGCATATTTACAGCAGTCTGCCCCAAGCGATACTCTTCATTTCAGCACTTTAGTTTAGCCCTCAGTACCACTGTGTTAAAATTATTCAACAGGAGTTTGGATTGCAGAATCTGGATTTTAGATGTTAAGAATTTAATATCAGATAATGTGTCTTTAGTGAATTATACATTAGGGTTGAAAGTGGTTTATCAAAGACAAAAAAAATATTCAGCTACAGGGTTACATTTTGTATTTTATGGAGGTCAGCACTAATCTATACGAGTTTGAATGATGTACATGAGAAAAAAAAAGAAAAAAAGCCCAAATAAAATTAAGATCTTTTGACTGATCCAAGAGACTTCCTCCTTCTTTTCATAGACACAGGACAAAGAAAAAACCACTATAAAGCTTTTTTTAATCTGCCTGCTAAGTTGTATTTATACAAAATGCTCAAAAAGCCAAGCTAGCACCTGAATCTTCACACATTGTTTGTGGAATACAATATTGTCAAAAGAATCTTGTGCGCGCATTTTCCTCTGTTGGATCTACAAAAGGTTCAGCTTTATTTCTTTAACTGAAAATAAAAATGTACACATATAGGCCAAAGTGTAAAATGTAGTCAGCAGAAAAAAAGATGTCTGAATATACACATCTGAAAACCTTCAAAAGAATTTTACTCAGCTTCTCTAAGATGGTAGTTTTGAAAAAATGACTGTCAAAACAGTAAAAAGAAACTAAGATGCAAATCTACTTAACAAGAGAAACTGTGTTTCCCAGCCATTTTTCAACAACGGTTCCTCATCTGGATACAAGTCAATTTCTTCACAAAAGGATACATATATTTATTTTTACATAGCTCTCTCTGTGTCTAAATCACTCCAATTTGGAGCGACACCACCTCCAACTCTGAAACAAAGCCCAGTTGTACAGCATCACTGTATCCCTTTACTTCCTAAATATTCCAAGGAAGATATACCACAATACACCTGAACTCACATTTGCTTTTCTGGGCATGTCATGCTTAAGCATCTTATCTGCAGTGTTTAAAGTTTAAACAACAAGGCACACTGGGGGACGGCGGGTCACATGTCCATGGGCGTGAGCTGTTTGTCAAATATTTTTGGAATCAAAAAATACCATATATGAACACAAAAAAAATTAAACGATTTTCATAACAACTTTGCTATAAAATGACATCTGGATAAGCAGAGTATGATCAAAGAATGTGAAACATTCTTGATGCCCAAAATAATAAGTGTTACTTTTTACATGTAATCTCTCTTATCAGAAGAACATGACAAAACAGAGACCATGCAAGTTGTTTGCAAAAATCTCACTACTAATGGAATACATCATTTTTAAAAACTTAAGTGGATTTTTATGGACATTGGGTATTGGCTGTTAAATGCACAAGTAAGTGATTCATCAGTTACTGCATCAAGGTAGAATGTTATTTACCCCTACATCCAGTCAAGTGTCTCCCTCAAGCTGTACTTTTTACATTTTCAGTCACACCCTGTGCCATACTGGCTGGGCTCCTGCAAAGAGGAGCTGACATGATACACAAGATGGGAAAGACAGACAAATGGTGCATCTATTACTGTAGAACTGTTTGGGAAGATATTCCGTGTTTGACATTTTGGTAAAATTAAAAATATTTTAAAATGAACACATTAACCTTGCTGAGGAGTGCCTGCTATCACACAGATGAGGCCATAAACTAAAAATAAATTTGTGCCATAGAAATCGTGTTTCCTCTGTATGCAACCCAATCGAGTAAAAATATAAAAGCTACACCAAGCTGATATCAGATGGACAGAGCTAAGTTAGCATGCAAGCACTCCGATCATTGTTACATCTTAAAGGAAAGCGAGGGGGGGGGGAACTGATTTTCATGTAGTCATGTGTTTCAAAACACATACATAAAGACAAAGTTGACCATAATCTGTAAATTCTAAAAACAACCATTTTCCATGGATGGGATATGGTCCTTTTCCAGAAATCTGTTACTGCCCAGAAACAGTCAATGACCAACTGACAAGTTAAAATTAATCTGCCAGGGGAGCTCAGGCTAGGTATAATAGTGAAAAACACCTACTTCTATCTTTCAGTGTTTCACTGCAGTCTCTGGCTGAAGCAGCAGTGAGCCAGTCTATGATGACGTTTCTTTTTTTGTTTCTGTGGGTTCACCTTGAGCCAAAGGTAAGGGCTCAGAGGGCACTGGCTCTACTGCAGCAGTAGTTACCTGTGGAACCGGAGCTATAAGTTTTGATTCTGCCTTCTTATAAGCTTCCACATTTGGCTCTTTACTGGTTTCCAAGGTAAGGGTGGGAGTCACACGGGGTTGCCCTGTGTTGTTAGAGGTCCGAAATCTCTCCATGTTTTCCAGTTCAGCCAATCGATCATCTCTGTCCCACCGTGTGGTCCTCTCTCGCCGCTCTGACCGCCTTGGCTTGTCCCCTTCCTTTCCTGCTGTTCCTCTCCCTCTTTCTCGACTCCCTCCTTCTCCCCTTCCTCTTTCTCCTCCCTCCCCCTTCCCATACTCTCTCTCCACATCTTCACCTCTCCCTCGTTCCCTGTCACCATCCAGGCTGCTTCGCTTCTCCCTCCAGTCTCGTCTGTCTCTGTCTCGATCACGGTCCCGATCTCTGTCCCTGTCTCTCTCCCACCCTCCCCCTCGGTGATCGCCTCCATCTTCCTGCCAGCCTCCAAGCCTGTCCCTCCCATCCATTCTATCACCACCTCCTCCCCTCCCTCCGTCTCCAAATGGACGCCTTCCACCTCCAAAACCTCGCTCCCTCTCTCTATCCCTGTCTCGATCCCAGTCTCTGTCTCTCTCTGGCTCTCGGTCCCTGAATCCAGGCCTGTCTCCTCTGAATGATCTGCCATCCATTTCTTCTGGCCCATCCAAGCCACGAGGACCACCTGGTCTGATAAAAGGAGGAGGAGGACCTTGAGGAGGTGGGCCATGCGCATGTGGCGGAAAAGGAGGCCTCATATTATGGGGAGGAGGCATCCCAAAGCCTCCTTTAGGTGGAGGGGGCTCATGGTGCATCATTTGAGGGTGTGGTGCCCTGGGCATTATTTGTGGGGGCATAGGAGGCATGCCTGGGTGAGGCTGTCTTGGCCCATGGGGTGCAGGGAAACGCTGCATGTGCGGTGGTGGGGGAATGGGAGGACGCTGGAGTGGGATCATACCAGGCCTTGCGCCAAGCAGACCACCAGAGGGGGGTTGGATGTTTCCTGGAAGAGAACTTGGAGGACCACCAGGAGGGCAACCTGGAGGTCCACCTGGAAGAGAACTTGGAGGACCACCTGGAGGTACACCTAGTTGGTTACCTGATGGGAAAACAAATGGCTTTTTAAGTGATGAGACCAACTCCCCTTGATTTAATTGGCAAAGTCAAGTTAACTGTCTTTTAACAGTGTGGTGAACAGTTAAGAGAGAAAGACAGACTGACCCATAGGTCCAATCTGGTTGTTGAAGATGTTGGGACCCTCAGGGACCTCATCATTTTTCCTGTGGCCCAGACCTGTGGTGTCCAGAGGCAGGTCCTCAAGTCCACCTTTGGAAGGAGGTGGGTGACCTAGAGGCATGACACCTGGGGGAGGGAAGCCTAGAAGAAGAGAGCTATGATGAGTTAAGGTGCTTTCACACCAAGCTGGTTCAAACAAACTTTGGTACATTTTTTCCCCACTGTATCCTGTTAATACTAAGCTAATAGCCAGAATGTAAATACTGCAGGAGCCGCATCCATAGGCCAGAGAGCAAAGAGTTCAGTGCAGAGATATATGGCATCTTAATCAAACATAGTAACCTGACAGATTAAAGAGCACAAAGTAGTTAGTTATTAGTCCCTAAGTGTTCAGTTGCAACTATGTGAAATGCCTGTTTCTATGTTGATGCACTTCATCCGTCAGTGTTTATTACCACAACTACTACTACAACTACTTGTAACTAGACATGTGAACAGCAGCACCACTTCTGAAAAATTGTAGGGGAAACACTGGTCACCATAACTACCTAACAGATTTTTACAGTCACGCCACTTCGTGTCAACAGCTCTTGGTCGTTTGTAAAAAGCCAGTGTGAACACAAACAATGTATTATAGAAGTATCATTTGAACCAAATGAACAGATTTTCTTTGTAAAATACAGACAAACTGAATGAAAGGATGATGGAAGCTGTAGGGGGGGCTACCTGGAGGCATCTGCATGGGATTGAAGCCAGGTCTGATGAAAGGAGGTGGGGGGACGCCTGGGGGAAAGGAAGGTGGAGGCATGCCTATGGGACCTGGAAAAACAGGAGGCTGGAGAGAGCCCACACCAACCACTGGCTGCTGCATTGGAGGGACCTGAGAACATTCACAGAGATTTGCTGCAGATGTCAATTCAGAAAATTGTTTTACTTCCCAGTAACACAGTGGACACACAGCAGTTGAGCTACCCCATCTATTTTAATGTAGGAATGGATTAGGTGCCACACATTGTGCTTGTCACATTATTTTAACTGTTGCCTCCACACCTATCCTTCTGATTTTGCACTGTAGTTGAGCATTTACACATATACCTGAAATAACAGCAGGCACATAATCTGTATTATTTAACATTTTCTTTTAGAACAGTGACACGTCAACACATCTCTAATTACAGTAAAAAAAAAAAAATCCCTAACATTTGTTTGCTTACCTGTGCAGGAGGAGCCACTGAGGCTGCCACAGGTAATACTGGTGCCTCTTCAGGCTGTTGTGGCTCTGAACGGCCATTGTGGGTGAGTTCCTCTGGGTGTTCAAGAAGATTCTTCCTCATGCCACTCCACTCTGCAGATATGATTAAGATTTGTTAATAAGCAAACTGGTCAATACAATACAAAACACAATAGCATCAATAATGCACCTTGATTCTCATTCCGAGTAATAAAACACAGGGTATAAATTGATGAACTCAGCATGAGGTCTGCCAGATTGCCCGGCACTGCGTACTGTGGACTGTCTTCCCACATGAACTACAGTATATGTGGTTGCAGTTTGTCTTAACTTGTTCATATGACTTCCTCATGGGTCTGTGCTTGTCAGTGTTTACCTGGTGATAAGGTGTCTACATCCAGTATTCCTCCTTCTTCTAGCTCCTCCAACTGGTCCTCTCTGATTTTAGACCAAGGTATGTAGGTGACTCCCAGCTCCACATCCCAGTACTGTTTAAACTCAGGTTTTATGCCCTTGTTCAAAGCCCAAGCAATCTGGCAAGAAACCAAAACTTAAATTAGAAAATGTAGTTTTCTCTTTGATTTGATGATTTATTGTTTTATGCTGCATTACTAAGCAGCAATCACTCACTTTAATGGCTTTCTGGTTAACTTTGTAAGTTCCTCTACTGAGCTTCTGTAGAGCCCTGAAGGCATCTTGCCTATGTATCATGACAATATAGGCACAGCCACGTGGAGGGATCATCTTAACAAGAGAGGAGGACAGACAGGTTAAAACACACACACACACACACACACACACAAAGACATTGTGACTACCTTTTAGTCTAAACTTAATCTCATGATTGGACAATGCCCCTTTCATAAATCAGTGCAACACTGGAGAAGGGTTTATAAAAGCAAAGTTTGGTTTTACCTTTTAATATTCTATATGTAATCAGTACTTTACTGAAATAAACAGTATTAAATACAAACAACAAAGCTGATCATGTAATGACTTGACTATAACATTTGATATACAATGACAAATTTACTCTAAGGTGACCAGAAGAGACAATAATAAGCATTTCTCATCACAGGATGAGAAAAGGCAAATGTCACTGTTACAGTCAGCAGGCCGGAGTCACAGTTGGATCAGTGTAACAGATCTATGCAAGTCTACTTACATTAATAGATTCTATCTGCCCAAACTCCTCTAGCACACAAGCAACATCTTGTTGTTGTGTTCTCTTGTCCAGCTGGCCCACCCACAGTGTTGTACTGCAAACTAAATAAAAGGAAAGGAAAAGTAACATGAACTCATCATTTTAAAAAGATATACAATATTAAATGCAATGTTATTTGAAAAATCCCACAAATGTCACTGAAAGACAATCATTTTGTGCAAGTAGTAAAAAAAGAAAAATTTTTTACTTAGGATTCCTAAAACTTATCTACTTAAATAAATATGACCAATTCTGGTCTTCCAAGGGCCACTGCTCTGCTTGTTTTTTAACTGCCCTTACCGCTGCTGATTACCGGGATCAGGTGTGTTCAGTCAGTCAGAAGCTGGAAGATACCAATTCGCTTTGTCTTTCCTCCCTCCACCTTCATCTAAAATGGTATCTTCCAGCTTCTCAAGGACCAGGACTGTCTACCCCTGCCATAAATTGATCATGACTCACTGCTCAGTGTCTCGCTCTTTGGTGGCGGAAGGCCCTTTTGCCTTCGCTCTCTCTCTTTCTCTCGCTCCCTACGCTCCTGCGAGCGAGAGCGTGGGGAATGATGACGTCGGTCTCTGGAGCGCGAACGAGATCGCCTGTGCCTGGAACGTCGTGTACGGGAATTAGACCGTGACCTTCTCCGCTTTGGTGACCTGGAACCAAAAATAAATTAATGAATGAAAAACATTGCAACTCCTGCTGGGTTCATCATAAATGAAGATACCAGCTTGCAGCTTATTTGCATATGGCAAAATAAATGGAAATGAACAAATTCCAGTGTGGCTAAAGAAACCTAGTTTGATACATCATAGCCTGTTTCAGATGCTCACCTTGAGCCTGAGTGTGACCTCTGACCATGTCTGCCATCCCTCACAGATGAACTGTCGATATCCATTGACAAATCCTGATAGAGTATGGAGCAGACATACCATTTGTTGTCATTTGCCATAGTTATTTGTTGAAAACAACTATACCCTTGGGTCCTTGTTTAGAACAAAAGACATTTAAATTATACCCAACAGAAAATACTTATTATCTATCCATCCCCCCCCCCCTCCCTTGTGTACTACTGTCAAGTCTACCTGTTGTTGTTGCTGGGCTGTGTTGTGGGCAGGGTATCCCCCTGGGAAGCCCGGAGGCCCAGTAGAGCCAGGGAGGGGATGCCCTGGAAGAGCATTTCCCATAGGAGGCATAACTGGGAAGCTTTGTCCTGGTGGTAAACCACAGGCCTGGAGCTGGCCATTAGGAGGGAGAGGAACCTAAGTAAGACAACGGTTATAAATATTGTGCATGTGCTACAGCGTTTCCCATATATAAAGTCAATTTATCAAACAAATGTGTTCAAACCTATTGTTTTCTTTTACAGGTGCTGCCTTCCACAAATAGAATATATACTGTACTGCACAGTGTATATATTATTTAACCCTACTGCTGTAAAAGAAGCTATAGTGTTTGTGGTGACAACAAACTTAAATATTATATTTTATATAAATTTTATTGTTTAAAGTAAAAATAAAAAGGAAATAATAAACAATTAGCTGGCAAAAGAGTCATTTTAAAATTAAACATCATTCTCATTACCTGTTGTGAGAGGTCTTGCGACATATTAATCACTGGCGGTTTCAAGTGCTCCGTGTGCTGTGGGAAGGCCGGTGGCTGCTGCATACTGTGATGATAAAAAATATACCATCAATTTCATAGCTTCCCACTTCTTGGCATTACATACATACTGCTGTATATGTAACGTATCAAAGACTTACAAGGAGGGCTGTGATGAGATTTCATCCTTCTTTGTTTCTTCTCCAACTTCTGGATCATCATCATAGTCAAAACGGTCCAGCAACTTCTGAGCGAAACACAGGTTATGAATGTAAAAATGTATATAAATAAAGGACTTCATGTTAACATGGTAGATCTTGTACAGCCTGAATTTATTTTGTTCCACTATAATATACACCTAGCAATAAAATGTCTAAACAGAGCCTGACCTCTGTTATATTGCAGAAAATTCATTTTGATGCTGATGGAACATGCAAACGCAAAAGCACACTGCCACCTTGTCAAAGGCTGTTTTTTGCTGGGTGGGTTGGTTCTGCTTTAGTGGAGTGTGTGGAGTGAGCACGCCCAGGCCAGTGGTGATGTCTTGGGCCTGTGTTTGGACAGTATGGAGAGGAGGCTCAGTGTTGGTTTCTGGCTTTACTGGTTGCTGCTGAAAATTCTGGAGCATCTGTTGAAGCTAAAAATCCAGTGACAGAGAGTAAAAGAAAAGAATTCTTAGTGAAGATCTTGGTCTATATGCAAGCTATGACAACAATACAGTCAGAAAGACTAAGCTCTGCCTGTTTGCACCACACACACCTGCTGACCCTGTGAGGACTGGAAGAGCTGTGCCACAGCAGCAAAGGCATCAGAGTTTTGCAGCGGAGCAGCAGATGCTCCAGTGGAGTTTGCCGTTTCTGCTGTAACTGGCTCTTTGGCTGGAGGTGGAGAAGAATCTGAGGGAGGAGAGACAGCAGTACACAGATGCCTTCAAACACCAGCATCATTCGCTGACACATCAGTATATCCATTACTTTTACTTATTATTTTATGCAATGTATATTAAAACTCCACTAAGCAAACCTCCATTATTTTCACTAGCAAATGCAACAACTTTTGTAAACAAGGCAATTATTTACTGCAACTTGTGCTGATCAAGTTCAGACTTGAACAAAACTGAAAGTGTAAATTTGTGTCTGTACAATCACGTTTAAAAACTACAGCACTGCCTTACAGTAATCACTTTTGTCTCATGTGTACAATCACACAAACGTACCTGGCTCGTCTGTGCCTGTGTAGGGTGCGGCAGCACTGCTAGAGCCAGCTGCCACGTCCAAGAGAGGTTGAATAACCTCGATCTTGAACACTCCATTCTTCTGCCACAGGTTCAACACCCGCACTATCTTACTCTACAAAGGAAAACCAAAGAAATAAATGAAAGAGAAGGAAGGGGCAAAATTCTTCAACCAAATTGTACAATGTGTGACTACAATACTACAGTTTACAACATAAAATCTAATTTATTTATATAGCACTTTAAAAACAACATCCAGATGACCAAAGTACTTTACATGGGTAGAATAAAATAACAATAAATAACTAAAATACAATAAACAGATCAACGTAAAAATAAAACAGCACAATAACAGACACACAGATGACATACATTCAATAAATTAACATTTCAATTAACATTCATCACCCGGAAATTTCTACTAACTCTCTCTGTTCTTACCCTGTCCTCTATGGGGCACAGGCAGAGGTTCTCAAAAGTCCCTGTAATGTTTTTGGTAAACCTTGGGCCAAAAACATCCTTGTCTGGTCCAAACTGGTGTCTGGACTGCCTAACAATGGAATCCACCACATACAGGCCTGCTACCTTATACTCTGGTTTACACTGGAGAGAGCAGAGAAAACAGATTTTGGCTTTATACATGTTTAGTGAGGAGGAACAGGGTGATAAGTGAATATAGACCAGTTTCTCTCACCTTTTTGATAAACTTCTCCACAATCTGAACTACATGTTTGTAGAGCTGCGGAAAGCAGACACAAGTGAGCATCTCATCAGCTAGATACAGACTCAAATAATAAGGAATATAACTTTAGAAATACAGAGCGTGCATCTAGACATTCAAGTAAATCTCCAAACTCATTCTTACTTTCATAGCTTTGATGGCAGATTTAGTGATGGAGATCATTTTTGCCCGAGAGATCGGGGGTTTGGAGTCCATCAGTGAGAATAACTAGAGACAGAGTAGATAACAGATGAGTGAGACAATGAGAGTCCTGAAACAGGAGGTATAAACAAATTTAAACAAACAGAGAGAGAGGGCAGTGCTTAGAGGAGTGAAATAACCGGAAATGACCTCATGTCTTCCAATATCAAAAAGACATTTATAAGATACAGCACTTTACAACTGAATGTTTTATTGGCAACAAGCTGTAGAATAAAACCTGACATTATGAATTCTAAGCAATTAATATCCCCACCTTTATAAGCTAATCAGCATTTTACAACCAACTGGTGCTGACATGATTTTGTCTTAATCTTTTACTGGTTGCCACAACTGAAAATATGAACGATGACACTGCGATTGGTTATATGGACTATACTGTTCATTGTGATCTGATGGAGGCCTGACGCTGAAAGCTCTTACAGTGAAGTGTGCTGTAATTGTTTACTACCTTTATTTCCCACCTGCTGTAAATCCTTGATTCCACAGCCCTCCTCAGATCTGAGGAGACTGCAATGGTACGTTTTCAAAGTTCTGAGGTGAGGACCCAGACACACAACTCACATTACACAGAATGACAAACCCATCATCTGTACACACACTGTGTACTCTTAAGGATGCAAAACCTCCCTAACAGGTGTGTGGTGACCATGGATATTGCTTTGTTTTTCTGTCTTAAAAACATTCAAGTGACTGAGAGAAACGCTTACTGACAGCACTAAAATACATGACTGTGCTTTTAATTGGTGCAATGACAGTATGATGGCGTATACACTGACACATTTATCATCTATACCATATCTAACCCTTATTTGCATCCATAAACAACTACGTTCTTGGTTTCTATGCCAGACAGAAAAGGGCAAGCTCATGTTATTATAATCCTTTTAACAAGAATTTGATACAATTGCACATTTGTTTGTCACTCTGTCCCAGTGGCGAATCAATTATATAGCCTCAGCCAAGATATCTGTTACTTCCAGGGTTAAACGGCCATAAACAGAGACGAGAGAACCCAAAAACATTGAGAATAGCTACTTGGCCTGCCCTGCCCTCCTACAATCAGTCCACACGCTCTAACGTTACGCCTTCATTAAACACGCAGTTGTGAACACCATGTTTGTAAGTTTGTAGTGTGATAACAATATAGTGTTTGCTCATGAGGTTACCAGTAGCATGCTACCAAAACCAATGTTTCAGTAACCATACTCTCGTATGCTAACATTAACCGCGGTTTCAAGAATCAATGTAAAGTTGCTAGATATCGTTGAGTTAGCTTGCTAGTTGGCAATAAATCTTATCAGATGTTTCGCCAGTAACATTACTGACGCTGCAGGTGTGCGACACAAGCAACAAATCGGTTTGCCCTAAAGCCAGGGTGAGATTAATATGTCCAGCTAGCTAGCCGAGCAGGCCCACAGCTCGGTCCTGCTCGGCTAGCTTCAGTGCAATGCAACACCATGACCAGCACCGCCAGACTGGGTGAGGTGGGGGTCCCAGTAAGCCCCGAAGGTAACTTACCTCCTGGTTGAAGGCGTTAACGGCATCCATGATTGCCCAACTCCCCACGCCTTCCCAGTAGCTCCCGATTCCCCGCTTACAGCAACGTTTACTCAAAGAAGGATCGGTACAACATGTCCGCTCCCGGTAGCTAGCGACAGTTAGCCTAGCAGTAGCGCTCGGGTCGGCGACCACAGCAAAGCATGATGGGATTCAGTCCTGTTGTTTTGGGGGTTGTCCACTTGGTGGCGCAGTGTTTGGGGGATTGAAAATATGGTTTATTTTCGTTTTATTTTGTCATAACACAGCCCACAGATAGCCTAGCACACTTGGCCAAATATTCAGAAAAGAATAGAGTAAAAAACATGGATTCATATGAAACATTAACAAGCACAAAAGACGATACACAACATTCACAAACAGCACACAGCAAAGAATGATAAGAACACCAAAAGTTCTTATAGGCAAATTTAAAGTATCCCAAGGCACAAAGTTGAGAAGCAGTGATTATTAAAACAGTCACTTTTATAGTGGTATAAAACATTAAATGATACATGCAACATTTCAAATACATACTATTTAGTCTACTTTAAATTGAGGATCATTATCACCAAAACATTTTTTTAAAAGCCTCGCAATACCCACTGGATTTCCCTTTAAACAAATAGTAGTTCCAAAGTTTTACTTTAGAGACGACTGTTAAATTCTAAAAACTTGTTCTTGTAGTACAAAATCGTGCCAGTAGATGGCGGCATACACGTGCTTGTGGTTCCATGTCTGGTTGTCTGGTTTAGTGTCTAGAAAGCATAGTCTAGTAGGCAAGTCAGACTGTATGTCTAGATGTACACTCCTTCTATGAATCCATACAAAGACTGAACACAACAGTGCACAGCTGAATACATACTTAATCTGACATAGCGACACCACAAAGCAGAGCCACAAAACAACTGAATCAACACCTTCATGGCACATAGCGAAATTTAGACAAGCTTCACATTGGTTATTGCAGGGCTATTGTTATTGCATTTGATTATATTGTCTGATGTTTCTGTTATTTTCGAGACCCCGCAGGTTCATAGGAAATATTAATTAGTGCACAATGGCCTGAGCTTTACAGTACGAAAAATTAATCTCAAACTGTTGCCCCTCCCTGCAGGTGTCCTCCTTTGAGTGATGAACACTGTTAATTAGGCCAGTGAACAACCAGGAGCCAGAAGGAAAATGCTCCTTTGTCTCGTGTACCGGAGTAAAACTTCATCTGTTGGCAGAACTCCAAGTTCAGTCAACAACCAGTAACACAATGAAAACGTATCTAACGCTAAATGAATGTGTTTTTTTATGAAAGTGAAACTATTTCTCAGCACAATGAAAATGTAACTAACGCTAAATGAATGTGTTTTTTATGAAAGTGAAACTATTTCTCACGGACACCTATTTATGATCATGTATTGCTAAAAAGTACATCACTTATTTAGTGGAACTAAGGAATTGCGGGTGGCCTGGGGCACAGCACATGGTGTGAACATTTGGATCCTTTACGCACACTTCTACCTAAACGAACCTGACAAAACTGCGATGCAGACACACAGAAATCGTGCACAGGAATTAGGTAATAATCTAAATATCTGTAGTGACAGTGTTGCTGGCGCTTTCGCCTGGCTACAAATGTATTCTTTGTTCCCAGGCATGTACAATCAGTCCGCACCATGCGAAACGGTAGATCGGAGTTGTCTCCCTTGTTCTCACATGTGCTCCACCCGCATGCGCTGATTGGATTAAAAATTACCCCGGCTACCACCATCGTTTGAGGGGCTGTTTTTTTACCCTCACACTGAGAAACGCCCACCCGAACGGCCGGGAAAGTCACTGCAAACTGAAATACACGCTGCCTGCCCACAGAGCATTCAGGAGACGCTGCTGTCTGTAGAAGGGCACTGAGTGTATAGCCTACTGAGTCACAGCTTTTTAAAAACCCTTACAAGTATTAAGACAGGTTGCGTCAGTTTCAGTGACCGAGTCTTTTTAGCATTTTTGTATGTAATTTGAATCTAAGATGATACACTAACCAAGGCTTGTCTGGAAATTGCTGAGTGCGCTCACGCTTTGGGTGAACAAGTGGCGCAAGCTCCGGTTCTCTTTCATTTGTTATTAGGGACGAGACGCAGACAGGTCGGAGTTAACGTACTTTAATTAAGTATTTATGACCTGCCGTTTAAGGTAGGCAACAGTCGAGCAGCCTCTTTTCTCCATTATTAATTGTAGACACTTGCCAAGTGAGCTGTGATGCCAGTTGCGGACAGCGACATGGTAGTGGACAACAGCCATGGGTTACATGAGGGTAAAACTCCAAACAGTGCCGGGGATGAGAGCATCCTCCCGGTCTCCCTATGCAGCCCTGCAGCGGACATCCTCAAGAACTTTTACCACACCAAACGGGTCGGGAACTATCTGATCGGGAGGAAGCTCGGAGAAGGATCGTTCGCTAAAGTTAGAGAGGGTCTCCATGCGTTGACTGGAGAAAAGGTGAGCGGGCTGAGGGGCTCACAAAGTGACAATGCAACAGGATTTGTTCAATTTTGTGTGTGTGTGTTTAAATCTCTTGACGTTTTTTAAATGCATCTTGCAACCTCATCAAGAATCAATACAGATCATTTAGATTAGCCTAATTTGGTAATAATTTGTTACACTTTAAAATGAGATTTTTAAAAAATCAAAAGCCAACTTTTAAGAAAAAAAAACATTTTCTTTTAGAATATTAGCTGAGCTTAATCTGACAACAATAGCCTTTGTTTTAACATTTGAAATCAGGAGTGTCATTTTAAGTCTCATGGTTTTATATTTCACTTCATTAGACGGTGTCAGCTGTCACTGGCAATGTATTGGTTTGTGCAGCGTGGCAACGCTTCCTTTATTCATATTAATAATTTATCCCTCCAGTATAGTATGAATTAATATTCTGGGTCCTAATTAATCAGTTCTTTACTTCCTCAGAGAAAGTGATCGGCCCCGTTTGCAATGGGAACCTTTGTTAATGGGCTCTTACGCCCCACCAGCTGTTGAACTCAGTTATATGCACAGCAGGGCTTGTTTTCTGGCCAAGCTCAAGTGACAGTATTTATTTTTTTATGTGTGTGAGCGAAAGCGAGGGCTGCCCTGGGCTTTCAACGTGTCTTGGATAACAATGTGTATGCTCTGTGGCTTTCCTGAACCTTTGCTTTGTCTGGTGCTGGTGATCTCACCGTTATGGGCGCGCAAGCCTGTGATAGGGACAGGGAGAGAAACTGGCCGACCTATGGGCGAGCAGGGCTACTACTTGCATATGAAATCATGTCGTTGATAAATGGGTTTCAGCCTCATTAAGATTCCGCCAGCGCAGGGCTTTGATATGGGCAACCATTGGCCATTGGCTGCCTTTGTCTCTCTGTGGTTTTTTGGAGGAGCAGCCAGGTTATTTGCATATTGGAAAACAAGTACCCCATTTTTTACTGTGTATGTCTGTTTTGGATCTAGGTACAATATAGAATATGTGCATGTGTCACTGATATTTACATTTTGCATATTAAAGGGTAGCCCATCTTGATACATCTTTTCCATTCTGCTGCTGGGAGGAGAAAAGACAGAGCATCCATCTTTCTTTCACTCTCTTTGTTGAAGATGATGCAAACACAGGCAATGGCACAGTAAGCACATCACATGCTCTCCCTCTCTTTACACCCATTCTCTCTCATTCAGTGGAGTACAGTGCCCAACATGCGCTGGGAGGGAGCAGAGGACAGAGAGTTTATTCAAGCAAAGGGTAGTCAGGGGGAAGGAAATACAGGACTCCAAGATCCTTTTTTTTACTTTCACTAGAAAGTCAGAGTGGATGAGAAATACATGTTGTTTAAAAGCAGAGGGTAAAAAAAGTGAGGGGAGATGAGAGATGGTGGTGTCACGGTCAGGGGGGCTCCGGAGGTCATAGGCATGTGTTTTTGATGTCTGTAACCCACTTTCCCATCCATACTCCCCCAGCCCCCCTCTTTCTCTGATAAACAGCTGAATGCCCCAGAAGCACACCCCTCCCCTTTTATATACCCCCTCCTCATATAGACTAGCCTACTGTAAATACTGTGACCCACCCCCCGCATACATCCCTTTCTTTAGCCACATTGCCTGGTCTAAACACAGGCCATTTTTTACTGTATTATGATGGCTCATAGTGCACACACACATGCACATACAGCCAGATTTAATTAGCAGCTGTAAAAAGGTTTTCAGAGGTGAATCAATTATCCGAGATGAAAGGACAAAAATATAAAAAGACAGACGAGCTGAAGGACAGAAGAAAGAGAAGAAGCACACAACCACTTTGGCCATCACCATTTCAGTAATGGATATGGTGATTAGTTTCACTGGTCATGCCTTTCCACTTCTACAGACTCTCCTTGAGATGATTTGCTGTGTGGGGTAGCCATGCTCTTGAACCCAGTCTAGACAGGATACAAGGAGACACGGGCACAGAATGAAATAGAGTGGATGGTTGTATTGTTGAATGAAATTTGCTACAGAGAGAAGCAAAGTGTTTGTCATTGAGGTAAAGGACCCATTCTGTCTTTTATGAGGAGACTCTGCAGGTTTCTTCTGCAATCAGACAGACAGAAAAACACAAACAGAAGACAATGGGATGAGTAATTAAAGAAAAACAAAACAACACTTCTGCCTGGAAGCCTGTTTCAGAAAATAAGCAGGCCATAATTTATCCTGCCTCAGTTTCCTTTCTACATTTGTGACTGCTTCTCATGTGTATTTAGCTGCAACTAAACTCTGTGGCAAATGGGAGAAATGTTAACTGTCCATTTGGCCTTGGTGTTTTCTTAACACGTAGGGTAAAAATTGCTTTTCCCTTAGTTTATGATAGTTTCATCAGACACCTCCCCCTCCCACAGCCTCAGGGCCCTATAGCGCCTGGGTTGCCCCATATTGGGAGCAGCTGTGATGGAGATGTCAGTGTCAAGTTATATACCCTGAAATGGAGACTGAGTAGCTCCTCACCTGTTACACTCCCTCCCTCTAAGACACAGCAGTACACTAGTGCTCTATCACACAGCACAAGGTTTAAGAGTCAAACTTCAGCATTTAGGTCAGTGCTTTGTCTAAAATAACTTCACCTCTTCCTTCTCTCTCCACACCTGTCTCAATTTCTCCAGGTGGCAGTGAAGGTGATCGACAAGCGGAAAGCCAAGAAGGACTCATATGTGACCAAGAACCTGCGGAGGGAGGGCCACATCCAGCAGATGATTCGCCATCCCAACATCACACAGCTGCTGGACATCCTGGAGACAGAGAACAGCTATTACCTGGTGATGGAGCTGTGCCCTGGCGGAAACCTCATGAACCGAATTTACGACAAGAAGCGTCTGGATGAAAGGGAGACTCAGAAATACATCCGACAGTTGGTGCTGGCAGTTGAACACCTGCACAGGGCGGGTGTGGTGCACAGGTAAAAATGAACACTTAAAATAAGGCAGAGAAAAGCAGATTGAAAAAAAAGAGCCCCAAATATCCCCAAAAGAGTCTAGGTTAAGTTCATATTGTGCACATTACTGTTAATCCACAAATAACTAGATCTGTCTGCTCAGTAACTATGGAAAGATGATTTAAATTTTTTCCAAGAGAGCTGCTACAACATAAATACAATTTTGTTAAAAGAGCTGGCTTTCCATTAGTCGTTCCAGTTCATCATTTCACCTGCAAATACGGTTACATCTTATGATAAAACTTAGATTTCATTTGGGGAAAACAACACATAAATTGCATCTCTACATCAAATTTCAGATATAAATTTCACACAACTCTTCCTGGGAATATTCAGTCCTTTGTTGCTGAGGGCCTGGGAACAAAATATCTGTCTTGGGGAGATGGCATATGTAGATAACTGTGTAACAGGATTTCTGAGACTGAGAAGGGATCTGGAGACACACAATAGGCCCTGAAAATCAGCCAGCGTGACTCACATTGGAAGGTTTATGTGTCTCGGCTTGTGTATGTGTGGGGGGGTAGACTCCTGTTGACCTCTCCTGCTAGCGCATTGTATGATGAATGGCTCAGATAAGTTGTCTAATGCAAACACTGGCACTGACATCTCCTCTTCTCTTTTTTGTACAGGGATCTGAAGATAGAAAACCTCCTGCTGGATGAACAGGACAACATAAAGCTCATAGGTAACTCAGAAGCTCTTACAGTGTCCAACCCCCCACCCCCAAAAAGGCAGTTTCTTTATAGTAGAAATTAAGTTGGAGTGTCACAGTACCCCACATGTGGTGAAGGCCTAAGGGCTATTAAATATTCTATTAAAACCCCTACAAGTTCTCAGCATAGTGCCAATCTGCTTCTGTTTGTGTCATGCTGTACTGAGGCATCTGGTTTAACTGGTGAGCTGAAAATTGAAAACTAATAAACCCAGAAGCAACACTCACCCCACCTCTTCTGTCCCTCAGATTTTGGCCTCAGTAACTGCGCTGGCATTTTAGGATACTCAGACCCGTTCAGCACCCAGTGCGGAAGCCCAGCCTATGCTGCCCCTGAGCTGCTCTCCAGGAAGAAGTACGGGCCAAAGGTGGATGTCTGGTCCATGTGAGTGTACCCTCCTTTTTAGAAATGTAATTAGTTGTTTCCAGATTTAAACCCATTGAAATCTATTTGTTTGTTTCCTGAGTCCAGCCAGAGCTGAAGTGTGAATTTTGGTTTTCCAGTGGTGTGAACATGTATGCAATGCTGACTGGGACTCTCCCGTTCACTGTGGAGCCCTTCAGTCTCCGAGCCCTGCACCAGAAGATGGTAGACAAGGAGATGAACCCTCTACCTCCCTCACTCTCCACAGGTAAATAAAGAACACACATATGCTGACCTGTTGTGTGCAGGTAATACTTTGTCGTAGATAACAAGGTGTTCCATTGTAGTGAATAAAATATCAGTCCATCAACTTGTATAACCTACAGACACCACACCCACTCAGATACTCACATATCAGTGTAGCCACCTGTCAGAATAGAACTGACATGAGTCGGAATGCACATGGCATGTTATTGTATTTGCAGGTTATTATGACTGCATTTGAAAGATAATGATAATCATAACAATAATGATCATCACTTTTATTTGCCAAGTATGTTCCACACACAAGAGGCAGCCATATATAAGTAGAAATAGAATATATTCGCATGGTTATCCAACTGGGAGACTGTGGGAATCTGGTTTATTTAAAACTAGTTCATGGGCTAATCCATTTTCTGTGAAGCAAAGTAAGTGGGTGTTGAATTTACTCATACCAGTCCTCCTCAGCATGTCACAACAGTGTCACCCTGTAAAATGCAAAGGGGTGGCTTTACCTGCGTACATACGTACCTCTTAATCAAGCCAGTGACCATGTCATCTCACCTATCTTATGTAATAATGGAATGAAAGCAGATGAGGATCAGGGCTACATTAGCGCCTATGTGCACTGTGTCAACCCCTCTGCTCCAGCTACTCATCAGAAATGTTTCTGAGTAGTTTGGAAGGTGGAAGAGAAATAAGGCAGTATCTAATGTTCATTTCCATTTCCCTACCAAAGGATCAGTCGCATTTCTTACATAAAATATATGATGCTGGAAAACTTTCCACTTTATTCAGTGGTGGCAGAATGTGAATATTTGCTCTTTGTCTCTGTCTCAGCTGCCATCTGTCTCCTGAAGAAGCTCCTCGAGCCAGATCCCAACAAACGTCCCAATATCCATCAGGTGATGGCTGATTCCTGGCTACAGCTGGCCAACAAGAACACAGGGGCACCATACCTCAACAGGTAGACTCAAACACAGAAATGTTTTCAGTTTGCATTTTGCACTAGTAGTATGTAATTTATTGTAGCTTTATTATTTGGCTATTTGTTTTCTGAATTCACTTTAAAGCATCACAAAGCATTAACTTTCCTGCACTTCCTCTTTCTGTGTTAAGGATTCACATCGAGGAAATAAACCACACGGTACTGCTGCATATGACGGAGAAAATGGGCTACAAGCACAGTGAGGTCCTTAGCGCCGTCCTCACCAACCGCGCCTGCCACACTTTGGCCGTCTACTTCCTCCTCAACAAGAAAATGAAGAGACTCTCTAAAGAGTACAGGGTAAAGTTAGTTTTTTTGTTTGTTTGTTTTAGAATTTAGCTGCTGCAACCTTAAAGGGTTATGAGTGTGCAGGAACAGGTTTGTCCAAAGCTTAAGTTTGATTGTAATGAAGGGTTTGCTGTGTTCGTTTAGGAGATGCAGTTCAAAGAGAAAAAGAAAGGAGAAAAGCAGAAAAATGAATATTTCCAGACCCAGTGGAGAAAGCATGTCGACAAGCTCACCATCCCCCCCAAACAGCCGCCTGTCTACCTGGCTGTTAGCAAGGGGCCCAGTAAAGAGAAAAAACACAGGACAGGTGAGAATTCTTATCAGTGACTTGTTTCACACATACATTATGTAGTTACGCAGTCACCTGTCCACTGTCTGCCTAACACCTAACCCACCCACTCCATCCATCTGGGAGGAAACATCCTGGACAAGTTGCCAGTCAATTGTAGGGTAAACACATGAACACTTTTTAAATTCGAAGTTAACCTGTTTATTGGGTAGGTACAGTATATAATTTGAAATCAAACTGATTTGAATCAGTGTTTACTATATTCAGCTCTTTCAAACACAGCCGGGGATTTTAAGAGTCACAGGTGGTTGGACTCCTGTGACTTCCTGTGGTTGGTGGTGAGATAACACTGCTTAAGGAGGAGCTCACAAGTGACAAGGACCCTGGGGCAAAATTGAGGTCTAATGAGTGACAAATGTTTAAAACACAGTAATTTCATCGACGTCACAACAGTTTTTCTTTTCCTCCTCAGGTCTATTGCGTGCCATAACCGGTGGCCATCGTAATTCACCTCTAGCACCACCCGGCACTGTTGCTTCCTCATCCATGGAATATCTAGAGATCCATCCTGTCTTGCCTAATACTCCACAGCAACGGAGGCGGTTGGCCACCCTTCCACAAGTTAATACACATTCCTTCGGCTCCCTCTCCAAAGCTGAACAAATCGAAGACACCCCAGCTTCACCCTGGTACAAGCTGATCAACGGTACTCTGTCCCCACCCCGTCACGTCTCTGCCTTCCAACCTGACTCCTCTTACTTGAAAAAAGCCACAATCCCCAGTCCTCCGGTCCTCATTGTCAATCCACAGCCAAAGAAGAGCATCTCATCAGATTGGTGCGGTTCTTCCGACACCAGCGGTAGCCCTCCTAGCACCGTAGGAAGCCCCCCAGGCAGCTCGGCTTTCAGCCCTCCGAAGTCCGCGTTTAGTCCCCTCAACCCCACCTCAGCATTCAGTCCTCCTTCCAACAGTGGTAACAGTGACCCTGACAGCCCGACACACCGCAGCAAGTTCCCCTCAATGGGAATCGGACAGATCCTAAAGAAGAAGGTCCAGCTGCAGCCGTTCGCTTTCCGCCCAGAACAGGTCATCGAGGAAGTGGTGTCCCCACCTCCCTACCCCATGCAGACTCTCCTCTGCGCTTCAGGTGCACTCAAGACCCTCTGCTGAGGGATACAAGACAAAAGAAAATGAAACACAGACTGAACTCAAAACCCCTCTCAACATTTTATTTAAGTTGGAGAGGTCTTCCGCAGCGGCCTTCTGAACTGTGAACTGACCCTTTATTGCAACTGAGCCACTTTTTGTGAGACTTTTTTTTTTAATTAAAAAATAAGAAAAAAAGGGGTTTGAGTGAGAGTATAAAATATACTCTTATTATGTAATAAGAAGAGGTGACACTGAGAAGATGAGATTTAAAACAGATACCTGAGCACTGACTAAACCTTACCGTGTCTTAGATACAGAGTGGACATGGGACATCCTGTAATACGGCAACAGCGAACAACATGTACACACAAAACACTCTATTATTGACTGAGATTTTCTTTTATGTAAGCTGTAACTGGTTACTAATTGAGCCACAGACTGATTCACACCAGCTAATAGACCCCAACTCTTGCCCTGACCCTGATTACATGTATAAATGTTTTGTCTCTGTGAAAACTCTCCAAGATTCCCACTGACCTCCAGCCAGCTGGCACTGTATCCTCAACGCTGACTGGATGAAGAAGCTCACTGCACTATTCTTGAAAACCAAAACCTATAATAACAACAGTGTTTACCATCTTTTACCTCACTGCATTATTCAGACAATAATGTACAACAGCAGTCGACTGTGACATGCTTGCGTGGATTTTGCCACAGCGTCTGAGCCTTAGTGCCATTAGAATCACCATACAGAAACAGAAGAGTAGAGCCATAGTCTCACTTTTTATAGCTCAACATTCTCATAAACTGTCACTCAACCCTGACAGTAATTCACAGCTAGAACTTTGTGTATACAGGTGTTACAGCACCTCTGTAACCCACAGGGAAACTCAAAGTGTCGAAGTCTTAGTTATGACTTTCTCACAGCTGCATATGCCTCTTCATAGTCAGTTAAAAAAAAGTATCAGAGGCTCTATGAAACCGATCAACCTCACCACAGGCTGAGGGTATAAAGGTGCAAAGGATCACATAACATCCATGAAAATAATTCATTTCCTTTTGTCCTAATGCTGTAGTTTGTGCAATAGTCTTAAGTGTTAACTGCAATGATGAGTATTTGCCAATTGCTCTCTGAGAGTGATGTGAAAATTGTGCTTGTAAATAACAGTACGACACCTGTGTTCCTGTCACTTATGCCTTTCTGTAAGAAGAGATTCAAAAGTGAAATGTTCATGTCTCAGTTGCTTCACAAAACTGCCTGACTCTAGGAAAAGGCTTCCACGGCCACACGAGGCTTCTCACTGTTAAGAAACTGTAGAATCTCTTCCTGTCCAAACAAAAAGTTGCATGCAATGTTTTATGAGTCAAATTGTACTGTCAAGATTTGAAATTAAGTCTTTGTAGCTTTTTTTCTGGTTGATACTGAGATTGATACAGACTCGGGGGTCTTTTGTAAGATTTTGTAATTGATGGTTTTGTTTGAGTGTCAAGAGATTTCTATGCTGTATAAAGTATTTTAAATATTTATACTGAATCCATTATGTGTCTGTCTGGTACTTTGATCGCACCTGCCTGCTGTCTGACTGTTTGCACATCAAATACGCTGTGCACACATGCCAATATACAACTTTGTATTAGCTGAAAAATATAGAATTAATACACCTAAATTACTGTAATTAGGTAAGTAGTTCCACAACAATCCACAATTCGTGTTCATTTATGTATAATTTACACAGAGCCTGAGGCCTATAATTTATTCCTAAGGCACTCAGCTCCTGGAGGACTTAATGAAGATTGGCCTTTCTGCTACAGATGGTCTATGTTGCCTTACAGCCTCGGTGTGCCACTGGTTTTGGATACCTTAAACATTTCCCATTGCACAGCTGTGGTGAGTAGAACACCCTTTCAACAGCTGAGGGATCCTTAGGACTGTTATTCACACAAACATAACTATGACCCATCTATCTTCACTCACATACATATACTGTAGACACTAATCTACTCAGCTGCGGTGCCCCCGTCCCCATCATAAACCTCTTTGGGTGACACTGCCTTGACGAGACAGACAAGGGGGATCACCAGAGCTCTGAGACAAACACTCACATGCAGAGGAAAACACAAACAGGGAGGTTAGATTAAATCGGTGTGGCTAAGCTGATAAAAGCCGAGGGGCAAGAGTGGCTCTAAAATGCATTACAGCCGGAGTCGTTTGTTTATCACAGACAGGCGGACAGTTAGTCAAAACCCCCTGGGCGGTCTGAGGAGACAAACAGGCTGTGGCCATAAATACTATAGCTTAACCACAACGCTGAATGAAAGGATAGAGCAGACTACAGGACACGAGCAGGTAATACCTGTACCTAAGTGTTCAGTGCTGCTCTGATGACGACTGTAGTGTGTACACACTCACAGAACACAAAAAAATACTAACAACTGGCAGAGTTGAACTCCCCAAGAGCCACCTGGCATAATGAGTTGCACTATGAATGGTTATATTCTAAGACAGATGCAAACCAAGAGAGGGATAATGGTGGGAATACTAGATTCCCAGTAATTGAAAATGAATTAGTAGCAATTTCTATAATAAATGTTGAAGTTCTTTATCAAGCAAAACTACAAATAGATTCTCGTATATGAGGATGTGCTGCTTTCTTTGTCTTCAAAGAACATGACATCATTATAAATCTTATATCTTCTAGTTTTGGACAAAATGAGCAATTTAAGACCTTGACACTGGTAAAATTGTGACTGACATCTTCACCACTGTTGTACATTTTATAGATAAAAATCAGTGGAGAAAAATGATTCATTAAAATGAAAGTGTAAAAAACGTAGGCTGCAGCACTAGACTGCCTTTTGGAGGATTCAGAATGCAGAGACAAGTTGACAATCTATGTATAATCTCCGAAGGCATAAGCAGAAGAAATCCATACTGATGAGACAAAGAAAACTAATTTTCCTTGACTCAGAAACCATTTGATGATTTGTGTGTAAAACAGGTTACAATGACAAATGTGATAAACTTGCAGAAGCATGATTTTGTATACATTAAGAAAAATATTTTGAAATATCAGTATTAGTGGTCTTATGGTTATTTGTCTATGTCACCAAGCCACACGTCTCAATAGGTACCCACACACACCTTTAAGATGACATTTTTACATGAGGCCAAAATGACCACTTACTGTGGAGGACAATGTCAATCTGTTCAGGCTTAGATCCTGATGACACTAATCCTGTTTTCACGCCCATTCTCATCACATGTACACACACACACACACACACATAAACACAACAGGGTGTCACTAGCAACAGGACAAGCCTTTGTGTCTGAGAAAAACAGACGATTAACCTGCTACACAGTGATGGGCACCAGGGGTGTTCACACACATGGACTTGGGCATCTGAGTTTAACCTCACAGCCCCACACTGCCCTCCTCAGCAGCACTCACACACAAAGAACAGAGGACAAGGAGGAGAGAGTGAGCGACAGACTACCTGGCATACACTGGCATACACAAAGACATGGGTGGAAATAAACTAGCAGATGTTGCTAATGAAGTAGGAGGGTTTGAACACTCACAGGGGATTTGGGTTATGCCGTCAGAGGAGTCACCGACTGGCCGGCTATCCTGTTCGATCACAGACACAGAAGAAGGTGATTAATGAAACAAGAACACTGTGGCTTAATAGAGATTTTACGCTTTCGCCCCAGAGATGCTGTTAGTAAGACAAAACTGAGCTACATTTCCCAAATGACCTTGACACCGAGATCATCTTGCACCCACTGATTCTTGAGATTAATTTGGAAAATGTCCCCCCAGGTGAAGGGGTTTACTCACTGACCTGCTGCCCAGTCTGTGCAACACAAAGAAATGCCTAGACTTAAAAAAAACTCTTTTTTTAAAAGCATACATCAGGTGACCAATCAGGTAAGTAGTGATCAGCCAGGTTAAATGATCAGCTGGAGATCTATTAAATATAGATTTAAGTGGCTTTATTTACATGATTTTATGTCATATCAAAAAGAGATAAGGAAGAAAAACATTTTTACTTGATATATTCTATTAAATACACTATAATATGTTTAGATCCTGGACTGACAAAAAGCACAATATAAATAGATTTACATTTAAAAAACATATTTGAAAGATGTGTGAAAATTGACATGCATAGTGCAGTGTAAGTAACTATATAAGACTGCTATGAAACACAATGGTTATGAAGCACAGTGGGGTAGATGGTGCTGTGGAAGACTGGGAACTGGTCATAAACAAGCTATGGGCAACTAGTGGGGTGTGGCTCTTTTGTCAGGGATTAACTAAGAAACAAGTATGGAATAATATACATTAGGCAGTTTGTCACATTTTAATGGCCACTAACCCAGACATATACACCTCTGAATGTATCTAGTGCCAGAGGAAAATCATCTTCCTTCATGCTCACTTATTATAGAACAATACCTGACATCCAATTTAGTTGTCTTGAGCCCCTAAAACAGAAACATTTCACTCTCAACAGTCCCTCTCATTTCACAGGAAAAAGCAAAACATATTTTGCAAGTTGGCACACAGGTGGCACTCCTTGAGATATTTTTTCTCTCAAAAACAAGATCAGAAATTTAATCAAAAGGCAGAACTCAGCCAATGAGATTTCAGCCTGTGGCAACAGCAGCCATTGGTCTGGTGTTTCACACAGGAAAAGCTGTAATTGGCTGATCGCGAGCTTAGGCTTCATTGCCTCCATGGCAACATTGCTTCCTCATTGCTTAGGGAAGGTGAAAAGGAGAGAAAGAGGGGAGGCGACTTTCACTCACACGCTACCTCTACATTATTCATCCTTTGTCCCTGAGTGCTTGTAGAAAGTGTGTAGATGTACTGACAAATGCATGTTGATATGTGTGTGTTCCCATGCTGGTCTTGGTTTGGGTGGTAATGATTGGTTGGGACTTCTGGGGTGAAATCAGAGCAATAATTGCACCTAGTAGTGCAATGCATCCAGCTATAACACATGTGGATATAAAGAGGCTAAATGGGTCCAGAGGCCATTCACAGTAACAGGTTCTAACTCCAACCTTTAAACTTTATTGCTCTGAATGAAACAACAGACAAAGACGTTCTCCAAGAGGAGTTTGCAACAGGGCGCAACAGCACACATCTGGACAGTAGAATGACCAGCCAGCTGGCTTGCATCATCCACATTCTGAACAGGATGCATACAGGCACCTCATCCTTACTAGCGAGGACTACATTAAGACAACACTACCAGGAACAACAAAAACCATGTGTCTTGTTTGTTGTTGTTTTGACTTTTTTCCCAGCAGTCAAGGGAGGGGAGAATTAGAGGAAGGGGGAGGGAAAAAGAAGGGGGAGGGTGGGGCTAGCAGTGAGAAAAACATCATGCAAAGATTAGGGTGGGGGGCCTTCATTCAGGACTCCTCCCATGCGTATGTGTCTGCGCATGAGTGGGGCTAACGTCTGCTGACAGGCGTGGCGGCCAGCGAGATGGCTGGCTGTTCCTCCGGTGGTGAACATGATGATGAGATGGCAACAGGCACTCAGCGTAGCACGTGCTCTCAGTTGCCATCGCAACCTGTCCTTGGATACAGCATACTGGTTGGCCGTTGTTAACTGTTGTTGTTCTGTGAGGCTGATGAAACCTTGTTGGTGAGGGAGGGCAAGTGGTACAGCATGCAGCTGCTTTCCCGCCTGGGTAGAAAGTGTTGCTAGGCATATTAACGGTCAGTTGGTAAACAAACACATGCCTTTAATCACCCCCAAAGAGATTAATCTTGCTGTTTAACTCTTAAATCCAAGAGGGAGCTCTAATTAGAGATAAATCATGATGAGCCATTGATACACCAAGTAATCTTATGACACAAAGTCAAAGAAAGTGAGACATTTAAAAAAGATTATCCAGATGGACCAAAGTTGTTTTCCTTTATCTGTTTGTTTAATACTTTATGTAAAACTTAAAATACAGAAATGGTTTTTTTATTTCTTCATTTTTGGAACTGTTTATTATAGAAAAATATTAAAAACAGAACAAGCTTATATAATTGTGAACATGCAAAAACAAATAACAACAAATGAAGGGACTACTTGATAGAAAAAAGGAGAGATCGCCCAGTAATGTGCCTAACAGTGAGGCGATCAATGTTAAATGACTTATGTGTTCTTTAATGGTGAAAACAACATCTTAACACAAATTCAGTGCTGTTTAATTATAGTCATTAACAGAATACAGCCAGAAATCCTGTCGGCTGCAAGACTCCATGCTTCAGAAAAGAAAAAAGTGTGCCTGGCCTTGAGTGGCCCGATCAATAAACCATTGTGCTGAGTGTGCAGTCTGCTTGATGAAATCCTGCACAAATAAACATTCTGCTCCTATTGTGCATTCACTCTGCATTGAGGCACAGATAAGGTGTTGCCATGGTCTACAGCAGCTGACACAACATGATTGATTACAAGGGTAGGCAGTCTTTGTTTCATCTTCGGTAACCAGGACAAAGCCGAGTGGGAGCAATGTGTATGTGCTGATATTACAGGACTGTGTTACTGCAGGACTGTTGTTGAGATAAAACTTAAAGGAGGATGCATTAATGTTAAGGCAGGGCTGAGGAGTGAGAATATTAAATCCTCATGCTTAACTCATGGACAAAGCACACACCCAGACAAGCTAACATCCATCACTGTCACACCTCATCATGACTCTCCTGAAGGCCAGCTTCGATCTCTTCTAGCCTCTGTGCCATGGAAATGACCAGCATTTTCATCTGGGAAGAGAAGAGGTCAGTTTTCAGTGGTGCAGGCTTTGGAATGTGCAAATGAACTGGAAGACATGGCAGTAAAATGAACAGTGAGGGTGGATATGACGGAGGCAGAACAGGGAGGGAACGCAGGAAAAACTGGACAGGTGGGAAATGGAGGGAGCAGCAGGGAGCAGTAAAGAAGAGAGAGGGGAGGAGTAAAGATAATTGGAAAAGGGGAACAGTGAAGGAGCTTGAGGAAACCCAGAGGGGAAGTGGTCAGGGATGGATGGATATGAACAGGGAGAGAGAGCAGGAGGGGCAGGAGAGACAGGTCAGTGAGTGTATAAGATGGAATATCCAAACAAATGTCCACCAGTCAGATAGACAGACAGTGTGCATTAGCTATGGAGGCTCCTCAGACACAGTATAGCTGAGGACAAAGACTGGACATGTATGTAAGGCTGGGTATCATTTGTAATTTCAATAATTATTTTGTTATATTACACAGCCTTATGTTGGTTTACTGTTTACTTGCCCCTTGCACGGGGATATGTACATGCACACTGAGAGCCGATTCCTCGTGTGTCCGACGCAACTGGCCAATAAAGTTGATTCTGATTCTAATGGTGATAATACCCGATACGTAAAACTACACCAGAAGAACAATTTTCCATATTTCAATCTAGGAAATACTTTTTCCATAATACCCTTCTTCATTTAACAAATGAGACTAAAACACTGGTTATTTTCATATCATGATTGGATAATTGATCTAATATTTTTCCAATAAAACCAATTAAAGGTGATGTCTCCTAATGCTTGCTTTAGTTGACCAACAATTCAAAACTCAATTATTATAATTATTAAAACCAGCTAAAACTGAAAATCTTCATATTGGAAAGATTGGAACCGGTTAATTTTTTTTCTCCACTTTTTTGATTAATTAACAACTTCCACAACTGCTGCTGTTTAATATATTGTTTCTATCAAGTAATCGATGAAGCTCTTGATTATATTTGTATTTAAAAAATTTACTTCTCAAACGCTGACAGATATGTGAGCTTTGTCTAACACAACACAGCCTAAAATGGGCATAGCACTGTTTTAAATTATTTAAACCAGTTTTTGCTTAAAACCTCTTGGGAAAAAAAACACCCACTGTGAAAACTCACAAAATTGCTTCGATCCCACATTTAACCAAAATGCATCTGATTGATTGATTGATTGATTCTTTCAAGCATGTAAAGACAGTCGATATGTCAACACACATAATTTCACACATATCCAACAAATGCTAATCCATTATCAATTTGCTTATACCTAGTACATGCTTGAATGTAGTAGGAAGAAGTCAGACTTATCCAGTCCTACCCCATGACATCATCTTACCATCATTGGTTTGCAAGCAGTATCTCTACATAAATAATTCTCT